AAACTCATGCCATTGGATGAGCCACTATTGCTGGTCAGGAACCAATGAGCACGAGTTTTGATAGCACTCTTGTTTTGATGCACTTTTCATCAGAGCCAGCCTACAAATAGCTTATAGTCTTTGCATATTAAGCTGGGATAGAAGAAGAAGTATTTACACATTGGAAAAAATACACACTTCACCTTTAATGATTCAGTTTATAGCTGAATAAAACAGAAGAACTGCAAGCGGGCCATCTTTCACAGGAAATGAGCAAAAGTAAAGTTAAATGTTAAGTAAATGTCATTTAAGTATGTACTCCTAGTTCATGTGTTCACTGGGACTTTTCACAACTGATAAATCCTGATGCGCTCTATTATACACAACGAGGCTTTCTCACTGTCTGTTTCCAGAAAACACCAAGTAAGCATTTACACAAGAATAAAAAATACTTCTGGTGGCCTATTACAATTTCATCTTGTTTTCTCATTGCAACTTGCTACAAATTCAGAATGAGTCTTGTCTTTTAATTGAAACTAACTCAGGTTTTTGAATGAGTCATATCTCAGGCGCCTTCACTGTGACCCAGAATACAGTGTGGTCATTGTGAAAATGCACCAGGATGAAATAAAGGTAGAACAAGAGCAAACTCCTTCCTTCTGTCCTCTGCCAAAAGCTGATATTCATCAGACATTTAAAAACATGTGTCTTTTATGTTACAGTTTATTATGCCGGGAAGGTAACGGTCCATGATGTTCCTTCATCTGTCATTTTTATTGATGCACATGTGGTCTGAATTACTTTCTGGAGACACGGTGCTATTTCGACTGGGAGTACATTTACCACTGTCTAAAACACTCTGTATTTCTCTCTATTGACTGTCTTCTCTATTCTTATAAGCTATGCCATACGATTTTCTTCTGTTATGCAGTTTCATCATCGTGCAAAGACATGCAAACTGCAAAGCAATGGCATTTTTTGCCTTGCTTTTGCTCTGCTGCTTTTCAGCACTCAAAAGCCTCTCGATGAACACAGAGAATGAAGCTCTCAATGTTCAACATTCAATAGATTCTCTTGCAGCTGAAAAGGAAACCACAGAAATCAAAAGGTGCTCTAATAATTGTTACATCACTTTAACCATGTGCTCTGAAAAAAAGAGCTTGAAGACTCAAAGAAACCAGTGAAAGGTTTAGGCATCAATCTTTCTCTCAGTTCATGTTTGATCTGAAATAGAGAGAAAAATATCAGCAGACCCTGTATCTTCAAGTGCCAATTCTTCTCTCAGTATTCATCATGTACAGATTGAATAAATAATAATTAAGTAAGTAACAGACAAATTAATACTATTTGGTTATTCATTTTTTGATAGCCATTGCCTTTCTGCTGGTAATCTGTGTCTACAGTTTCCTTCAAAGGGATTTGATTCCTATTGATTTGTTCACATATGTAAGTGAAATTTTACCCATGAAAAGTATTTCTCTGATTTCCTGATGATTTTGAAAAATCTCTAGACATGGAAGTATCCTGATTCTAATCGTGTCTCAGGAACAAAGCCATAGAGCCTTTGGAGACCAAAGCAAAGGACTAGAACTGGCACAATGGCCTAGATAACAGTCTGAGCTCAAAATCAAAGGGACATCAAAAGGAGTTCCTCAGGGCCCAAGTGTTGATCCTGTGCTAATTTTGTGGCCTGTAACTAACACTGCTCTTTCTTTACACAGATTGACACTTGTTTACCCATAGGTCTGGCCAAATGAGCACCAAGAAACTTTAATGGCGCTTTTCCACTGCATGGTACGGCACGGTACGGCTCGGTACGGTTCACTTTTGGGGGGTTTTCCACTGGGTACAGTACCTGGTACCTGGTACTTTTTT